GTGATGCATCTCGCCGATCTACGGAAGATGCACGGCGCGGCCCAGTAGTGCATCGCGCTACAATTAAATTCCATGCCACCCAGAAAGGATTGACTTGCCAGGGTTTTAGTTAATAGTTATGAGGTAATTATAAGCCTAAATTGTGAAATTAGTGTGTTGTGTAAAAGATGAAAAGCAAGCAAAGCAATTTTATATTGCGTTACCCGGCACGTCAGTCGTCAATCCTTTACATAGCCACGCGTCTTCGCGTACTGCGTGACGCGCTTGTTACCTGTGCCATGCCGCCTTCGGTGGTCGCGCGCTACTCACAGGGGGGCTGAAACTTGACGGATGTTACTCATCTAAATTTCTTCATCATCACTAATATCTGCAAAGTGTCATCGCACTACATGGAAAAATATACAGTAACTATTTCTCCATCAAATTTAAAAGTTATAATTTATCAAATATTAATCATAAATAACAACATCATTAAAAATTTTTAATTTATTTATACTTCCCAGTGGAGTAAAGATTTATAAAACGTTTCTTTGCTACATAAGGATGAAACCAAATATAATCATTGTGTTTTTCCTTATTACTGACATGATTGGTACCTTCAATTCTTGTTAAAACTTCTTTCGAAACATTCCAAAAATGAAAGTCATTATGAATACATTTAGAAATCATATCCTTTTTAAAACTTTCCAATCCAATTTTAAAACTCAAAACTGTCAAGCAGTTCTTTAACTCCGAATAGAAGGGAGTTTGTTCCAAAAAGGAACAACCCGCTCTGGAAGAAAAAAATACTGAAGATTCTTGACTTTTGTCACACTCTTACTACATCTATCGGATGAAACCAGATTAAGACCTGATCTGCTTGGTCTGAACAAGTCTGAACCATAATCAGTCAAACCACTAATAACCTTAAAAGCTTCAATAAGGTCCCCAGCGTTGTCAAATTAAGGATTTCTAATCTACGGCTGTAAGGAAAGTAAAAGTAAAGTAAAGTTTGCACTATGTGAAAAAATATATAATAAATATTTCCCCACCAACATTTATTATCTATCAAATACAATATTTAAAAACAATTTTATCAAAAACAATTTTATCAAAAACAATCAACATGTGCAAGAACTAGACCATATGGCATGCAAATACTAGGCCATAAACATTTTGAAAAGGAGCATACGAAACCCATTTTTAATAGGTTAAAAATTCTTACGGCTCAAAACTTGTACAAATATCACTGCATTTTAGAATTCTCTAAGATTATCAAGTACCACTGCCCATACTCCCTTTATGAGGCTATCAACATTTCAAACCGTGCAACGAGTCTAACAGTTATTCTTCTAAATAAATCAAATACCTTTTTGTTTAATGCAGCAAAGCTTTGGAACACTGTTCATAAAAAAATTTTAACTTCAAGCAATTGTCTAGAAACTTCCATTAACTTGATAAAATTGAGAACGAAAGCACTATTAATACAATCACAGGCTGCTGACTTAAAAGAGACTTGGACTCCAAACAATTTTAAGTTACAGTAATTTAATCTAATTGCAGCGGCACATAACATAATTTAAACTATTGCTATCATTATTGTACTACAGACTGAAAATATCTCAGATCTATTTTGGGCGTTTTTAACAACTTGTAGTTGTAATTCTTAAATATTAGATATCCTAATTTATAACTTTTTAATCAGAGTGAATTAATAATTGATATTTGATAATTTATTTATTTGATAGTTTAGTCTGATATTGATATTAATATTGATTATATTGATATTGTTATTATTGAATGAAGCTAACTCCAGACATAAATAATACTACTTCTATTAAAGGACCAGTTAACTGAAAAATTTGTAGTCTCCAATTTGGCTAAGATTTAAATCAGCTGTGACAAACTGGTAAAGAATCGTATCGCCGAAAGAACCAACTCTCTAGCGTACGTGTAACGCGTGTTATTGCAATAATAAGCTGTGGCCTCGTGACGTCACGAAGTCCCTCAGTGCGCGCTGGCATAGCGTAATACGTTGCAAATGTTTATCGTTGTCATTAAAACACGTGTTACTCACTCAAATTTTAGAATTATGACTATTACCCGAGTTCTCCAAAATCCTTATAGTTTTGGCTATCATCCTAACTAAAGGAATAGCTGATTGGATGTACAGTGCTCACGTCATGATTTTAAACAGTGATATAGGTTCTTGGACAGAGGCGGGTGAATGTACGGTTAGAAAGTTTCTGCTATTACAGTTCTTATGTCATATGTGATAATTTTGGATTGTTTTCATTGCTTAATTACACAAGCAGGGAGACTGTACCGATTATTTTTCCCCAGTCCATGAAACTCTAACGAGTTTAAAAGGATCTAGATAAGTAGGAGCTAGTTTGTTCAATTCCGAGAGCAATTATATTTATAGCATAGCGAAATTTCTAACTTTAATCTGCATGTGTCAGCCAGTACAGGAGACAAGAAGTCTGGCTACTTTACGGCCGTTCCTCTGGGACCATTAGTAGAAGTAGCTTCTATCAGAACAGTGCCGTGGGAACAGAATTCCCGCCAAAATACCCGGTCTACCAAATAGTAATAGTGATTGGAGTGTACGGTGTGCGGTGTGTTACAGTTTTGAATTATACTTCGGCTTACCTAGCTGTTATCCTAATTGCATTATCATCGGTACATAACATAAATAAACTACTGGTAAGTTTAAATACCAAGTGCAAACGTGTTCAGTCAATCGACCCACTGAACAAATATAGAATTTCCAAGATCCTATTATTCTTTTGCCATATATTAATACGGCACGATCGATTGTTAGATGGTTAAACGACTATACAATTCTAAAACTATGAGCTAGCACTTTAATCTAAAAATACACTTTTTATATTACTCCTGATTTTTACATTTCACGTAAAACATTGTCGCCACAGGTTGATCATGGACACTAACAGCTTAATTTGATATAAATGACTATGAGTTTCTCTAAAGTTAACTCTAAAGTTGTGTAATCCAGTCATTTATGGACATTTATGGAAATGAACCTGCAAATGTTCAGATACTCACGAAACTTTGCACAGACCTTCCCGAAGGTATGAATAAACGATTTTCGTTTGGAGACATTTGTTTGACAGTGGAGAAAACCCAGGAGGACCACGCCCATATTGACCCAATAACGTAACCGACCCCTTGCTTCTGAAGGTCGTAGAGACTTCAAAATAGGCTTAAACGAAGCCACATATGCATGTTTATATAGGAGTTATCGAGCAACACATGGCCTAAAATCCTTACTTTTCGAGAAATTCGCCAAAAACCATTTTGGGCGTGGTGCTGAGCCCATTTTCGATAGGATCGTGATAGAGTCTTTAGACACTAGACAGGGTGCAAAAGAACCGCAATTAGCATATTAATATATGACTTACGAACAAACATATGCCTTAAAGTGCTTACTTTTTCAGTTATTGGCGAAAAACTGATTTTCGGTTCCAGAAATCATGCAAAACTATGGGTATCTGGTAAATTGGGCTATGAAGGCCCTAAAGGTTTTTGAATGTGTGCAAATTGTGCAGAATGGCCATGTTTATATACAACTTATGAAGCAACATGTACCCTAAATTACTTACTTTTCGAGTTATTCGGGGAAAAACATTGTATTATGTCCATTTTCTACCTGTAAAATACATTCTCACGAGCTCCTCTGCGCGCGCAAGGGACTTCGTGACGTCATCGCCAAAATAATACAAACGCTATTTACACGCGTTAGAGAGCAGTTAGAGATTTAGGAATTTCGACTCGTTGCTTAGTTTGCTATTTGTCACAATCTGTCAAAATATGAGTATAACTTTTTTTTCAGTTAACTGGTCCTTTAACAAAGGGACTTGGAGTATAAACGACCAATTTTGCATAATTGTCTTTCCAACCAAGAATTCAGGAGGCAAGGGTGGGTGCGTAAACTTTATGGTCTGCACTCTCAGATCCTGTATCACCCTGGATTCATTTCGACGTATTTTTGGTAAAAGTATACATATACTTTCTGGTCACTCTCTTGCTACTCCAAGTCCCCTAAGATATATGGTCTAAAGTTTGCACTAGTTATATTTATAAAATATGTTTTTGTCTGCTTTAACTGATACTAAATAAAATTGTTGTTTTCTTGAAAATTGTTGTTTTCTTGATTATCCTATTTTAAAAACTTTCCAGTGGAATAAAGATTTATAAAACGCTTCTTTGCCACATAAGGATGGAACCAAAGATAATTGTTATGTTTCTCTTTATTACTGACATAACTGGCTCCCTCAATTCTTACTAAAACTTCATTAGAAACATTCCAAAAAAAGCAATCATTTGTAATACTTTTAGAAATCATATCTATCTTATATCCTTCTAATTTAATTTTAAAACCTAAAACTGTCACAGAGTTCTTGACGTCCGGAGGGAGTTTGTTCCAATATGAGTACCCACCTCATCAATCAATCAGTCGGGTGAACCGCCTCTGGACGCTCTCCAGCTCCAAAACAGTCCCTTAACTTCCATGAGCCACAACTGGATTCCACAATTGGACACGATACTCTAGATGAGGTCTTATCAAAGCTTTATAGATGGCTATCATTACACATTTTTCTCTAATTATCAAATTCCTTACAATCCAGCAAATCATACGATTTGCCTTGGAAAAACATGCTTTTATCTGTTCATTCCAAAGCAGGGAACTATGGGTAATAACCCCCAAATCTTTTTCCTGATCAGATACTCCAAGTTCTACGCCATTTGCTAAATAATTTAAGTTAGGGTTGCTATTAAGATTAATATAAACAACTTTACATTTGGCAGGATTCAACTCAAATACTCTCCCAATTTATGGCAAAATATAGATTAAGGCCAACATTTTCTGTGTATTTTGATAATGATATAATTAAAGCTATTGATTTCAATTTTGAATCTATTTTTGCTTTCTTTTAGTGATTCCTTAATTTCAAAATTCTTTGTTAATTCTTGTCAAAACTCACCAAACTTATTTGAAGCAGGTAAAAATGATGGGTTCAGTGGCAGATTCATCTCGTGCTAGGCGGAAAAACTCCCTGGCAACCAATGCCAATATTGCTAACTACAAGCTAGATGGTAAACTGAAAATGCTTGCTTCGACTGAGGTCAACTCCCCAATATTGTGCAGTAAATATAGCTTCGATGGGAAGTATATTGCTTTTGGTTGCTCCAATGGGGACATAAAGATATATTTCACTCAGAACTATAACCACGTATACACCTTGACCCCTGAAGATGGGAAGAAACTTCCTGTAACTTGTATAAGATTCAGACAGAATGAAGGCCAAGACTTGTACGTCCTGACAGCTACATACTCGTCTGGGTATGTCAGGCTATGGTATGTAACTTCTAAGCAGATGGGCAAAGAAATAAAGGAGATGTGGAGTTGTTTTGCTGTGACTTTAACCATAATTTCTCTAAATTTGCTACTGGTGGAGATGATTACAAGATAAGGATTTATGATGTAGAACGAATGGACTGTTTGAACCTGCTAAGTAAAGGGGAGAGCTTTGAAAGAATGGACGGTCATGCCAGTAGAGTCTTTGCAGTAAAGTATCACCCTGACAATGAACATGTCCTGCTGTCCTGTGGCTGGGACAATACCATACAGATTTGGGATGACAGAGAGGGACATGCTGTTCGCAGGATATTTGGTGCCCATGTGTGCGGAGATGCACTGGACATGGATCCTGTATACTATCATGTGCTGACTGGAAGTTGGCGCCGAGACAACAGTCTCCAAGTTTGGGATTTTGACTCTGGAAGACTTATCAAGAATGTCCCCTTACAAAGTCAGAGTTCTACAGAGAAAACGGTCTGTCATTTGTACTGTGCCAAATGGGCTGGTACAGATTTTATTGCGTGTGGTGGAAGCGATAATAATGCATTGCGAGTTATTGAAAAATCCTCCATTCAAACGGTTGGAACATTAGAGGGACTGAGCCGAGGATGTTATACTCTGGATTACATAGAAGTTAATAATGTTCCCTACATTACCTGTGCAAGTGGATCCAACATTTATTTCATGTCACTAAATGTTTAATTTTTTTGGTTTGCTGGGTAAAATGTTGATAATCTAACAGCAAAAATGTTATTTTGTTCATTTCTTTTTCGTTTAACACTGCCAACAATAAGTATAAACTACTATTATTAAAGACAGTATCTTTGGATTACAGCTAAGCTTCGAACTCTTGAACTCTGGATCAAAATTCTTTCGTGTACTCAGTCCTAAATCAAATGCCGAATATAATTAATGCCATGCTTAAAAGTCCAGAGTTCGGTGGTTCAATGAATGTTTCAATGCATTGTATAAATTCAATGTATTGACTCTCAGAATGATTTTACTTTATCCAACTAGATACAGATTTGGTTACAAAGCAGGTTAGGGATTAAATATCACGTTTAGGCTTTGGCAGTGTTGTATATTATATTAATAAATTTGCACAACTATGTATTCTTAAAGTTTTGACGTATGAAAATGTTAGCAGGTTATACATTTGGTTCATTGGAAATGTCACATATCGCCTTTACTTTGATTTCTATATGATATACTTAATTAATATAATGTAATGTGATTAATGGTACAATATATTCGGTACTGAGATTGCTAGCCAGGGTTTCTTCTGCATGAAATTCATTTTTATAAATTTTAATCGATTTTGTCGTTAAATCTAATTCTTGAATCTTAACAACAATGAACAATGATCATTTGTACGGTTTGGGTGTTTTATGCATGTGACATCGATTCAAACGAATTTTCTAGATGAAATTATTGTGATGTTCTAAATTTTATCATCCAGCTTAGCTGGCGTGAACTGGATTTTTACAAATAGCAACTAGTTACCAAGTTAATCATTTTCCCTGATCCAATAACGTTAGATGTTTTGTTGTTGACCTGTACTTGATGTGTCAAAACAGTTCAAATAATCATATGTATCAAGACTGCAACATTCAGATTGTAGAGTTATTCAATGTACCATGTTGAACAATACTGGAATTATACCAATTGTTATTCAAAACTAAAATGAATTTCCTTAGTTTCTTCCTAAATCCTGTACTAGATTCAAATGCATTGCACATAACAAGACTTTTTGTTGGATTTCTTAACAGTACTAATAACTTGTTCTAATAACCCATGCAATAAATACCATTTAAATCAAAATAATGCTATATTGGGTTGCACAAGAATGGATTGATTTTCTTCATGTATTCAAACAGTCCACAAACCATTAAAAACCTGTAGAGACATGAATTGAAGAGACATATATGGCGGCCCCCATTCAGCTGCCGAGACTACACGATCGTGATGGGTTGTTTGATGAAGGAGTACGGTCATCTAAGCGTGCAAAGTATGCACCAGAACAAAAGTTCAGTAAACAGAGTACCTCGTTTGCTGCATTGGAAGAAGACGAGGACGTCTTAAGACACGGTCAGGATCAATTTATTATATTATATGTATATCATCACAATTATTCTGATTTAATTCCTGTTAATAATCATACCTCGAACTAGCTCATAGGCTAAACCAGTCTGACATTTCAGGGATCAAGCCATTCCTAAAGCTGAAACATCCGCACACCGTATATCATGCTGGTGAGTCTCTGCTGAGTCATGATAAGTTTACATACGGAAATATGCTCTCATATTGCAATTGTTATATTGTATCACAAGGTCTGGTCAAGGTGCATGCTCCACACGTCTAGTACGCGGTGGGAAAGCACACCTTGTGGAACGAGAGTGCAGGGGGTCCCCGTCAAATACGTGTCATTATTCCTTCTAATTTCCGGAAAAAAGCAATTTTTTAGCATCTTTACATGGACCCCCTTTAGTTTTACACTTCAGATTTCAATAAGTACTCGGAGCAGTACCTTCTGTTGGACACAACTTCCGTACATTTCTGGACAAAAACTGGACAGTATATCAAGAGCTGCAAGATCAACACATTCTTTACAAACTTCATCAGGTACATCTACATTTTGTTTCTTTTAATTAGTTACAAATTAGTTTTGATTTTGTGTTTGAAAGATTTCATTAATTACCTGTATCTGTTTCAGATTTTCACGTCAAATTGTTATTCGACTAATAATAAGAACCGAGCAATCATTTTTTCAGTGTCCCACTGAACGACTGTCTGATTGCATGGTCACTCAACGCGGACTGCCTGAAAATCCTGGGTCCTGACTTCAAGTTCCTTGGTTCCGTGGAGTGTCCTAGCTCAGTGAAGAGTGTGATCTATAACGACAGCACTGATGAGCTTCTGACTGGAGGGCAGGGTAAGAGCATATTTCAAATATACTCATCTCCACTCTCCAGTCCTGAACTGAACACAGACCTGGCTATCTGTGGGGTCCGGCTGATTGATTAGTTGTGATAAGAGAGAGAGAGAGAGAGAGAGAGAGAGAGAGAGAGAGAGAGAGAGAGAGAGAGAGAGAGAGAGAGAGAGAGAGAGAGAGAGAGAGAGAGAGAGAGAGAGAGAGAGAGAGAGAGAGAGAGAGAGAGAGAGAGAGAGAGAGAGAGAGAGAGAGAGAGAGAGAGAGAGAGAGAGAGAGAGAGAGAGAGAGAGAGAGAGAGAGAGAGCACTGCTCACTTAACATGTCACATGTCATTATACAGGGTGTTTCAAAAATAATGTCCTGATTTTAAAAACCAATAAATTTTTTTATAAAGGAGCAAAATGCCCATTATCGGTTGCCATTAGTTTATAAAGCTTACAAATTAATTTGTTAAGCTCATTTGTTCCAGCGATTCAACTTTGTTAATTTTTTTTGGCTCTGTTCCAAAAAGTCGAATTTTGAGAAAAATACCATGATACCCGATCCCCATCCAATCTGTGACTTTCTCTCTAGTGATAGGCGACTCAACTGTTGCATGGGGGTTCTCATCTGCCCAAAACCTACAATTTTGGCGATTGACATGACCGCTCAGATGAAAAGGAGCCTCATCTGAAAAAATATCTGTTTCAAGAATTCTGAGTCAGATTCGATGCGATAAGCCATCATGCTGCCAAATTCGGTCCTTTGTTCTCTATTTTTTGGAGTTTGTGTCTGTTTGATTTGAATTTTTTAGGCAAACTTCTTCAGCTCTTTCCTCAAAATTCCCCAAACTGAAGTTTTCGATAACTTAAGCTCCCTACCAAGTGTTCTGGTTGACCTCCTTGGACTGTTCTCTAAATTTCTTTGCACCCTTTTGATATTCTTCTCAGAAAGAGCAGATTTCGGCCTACCCGTACGCGTGTTCTTTATCAGGGTACAATCAGTAAATTCAGTTTCTAGCTTCTTTACAAGACGTCGTATTGTCCTATCATCACGTTTGCTGTAGCAAACGCCTAGCACTTGTCACTCTGCCTCCACAAATCCAATAAGTCCTCACAATATCAAGTTTTGTTTTTTTTGTGAACCCCATTTTTCTAAAAATTCGACTTTTTGGAACAGAGCCAAAAAAATTAACAAAGTTGAATCGCTGGAACAAATGAGCTTAATAAATTAAATTTGTAAGCTTTATGAACTAATGCCAACCGATAATGGGCATTTTGCTCCTTTATAAAAAATTGTATTGTTTGTTAAAATCAGGACATTATTTTTGAAACACCCTGTATATACTGTCAGCCATGAACTGATTCTATAAATTGACCAGCCGGGTAATTTCAAGCAATCCTATCACTGTTTAATATCCCCGTAATGGCCTCCTGGCCTCTTCTTTCAGGCTAGCGCAAATACAGCCATGTTCTTACTAAGGTGTATCATGTTCCTCAGAAATCCATATCATCACGTGACACAATTTAACTTTTCGCCGCACTGGGAAGAGAAAGCAATCTCATGATCGATCATCTCCGATGAGATGATTAATGAGTTATCACTGTAATTCGAGTCTGCAGTGCATTGATCTTCATAACAATTATCTGTCGTATCCAAGTCCAGGATTTCCCCTTAAAACAATCGGTTGGATTGGGCTGCTTACCCGACCACATACAAAGATATTGTAACTTTAAATCGAATCTATTTTTTATTTCAGGTAATTTCACAGTATGGAGTTTCCGAAAGTTAAAGGCGCAGAAACTGGTTAGAAAATCAGTGATAATAGTTGGTATTGACCCAACTGATGAGCTTCAGCAGCTAATGGTTGAGGATGTTATTGGACCTGCTCAAAGATGTTTCGCTGTAAGCTCAAAGTAAGTGACGCCCTTACTTTTACTTACCCAACCGCCGACCAAACTTAATTTATTTTTATTTTCGTCTCAGCTTTTATCAAAAGAACAGATCTAAGCACCTTACGTAATTTAACGAAAGTTTGATAAATGTGGTTTATAAAGTTTGATAAATGTGGTTTATAAAGTTTGATAAATGTGTTTTATGTTACATCAGGAGAGTGTACATATTTGATATCTACGGAGGGAAGATGTTGATGTGTCTGGACAACCTTCACAAGCACCAGATAACCAGCTGTATCTTTGTCAGTAACCTCACCTACCTCATCTCCTCCAGTATGTCCGGCTCTATAAAGGTCAGTTGCAGGATTAAATATTTCTTTTGTGGTGTTTTATTCCACCATATTACGATATTAATATTATGGAAATGTTCCATTAATAACTTAACTGGAAAACCTTTGTTTGGAATAATTATGGTAGAGAATCCTCCTGGCCGATGGCTAAGTTTCTATTTTATCCGTATTGCAACTCTCTTTGCAACTTAAGGGGGCAGGGGGGGGTCTTCATGGAAATTTTGTCAAAATCGACTTTTTAGTTGTTTCTAATAGATGGGAGTGATATCTATCAGATGCTTTTAATCCAATAGAAAAATATTGCTCCTAGCAGAAATTATCGCCGGTAGAAGGTCAGCGCTTGTGTGTAATTGTATTGCGCGAGCGATTTTTGATCGCGTGCCCTGAAAATCGAGTCTAAAAATCTATCTCCTCCTACATTTTTTGAGCAATCACCCTCAAACTTTCAGGATATGTTCTAGGGATCATTTAGAAGAGATTGTCCAGGCAAAATTTTGAGATAGGCCTTTAAACATTTTTTATTCGATTTTGAAAATCTTGGACCTGGTTTTTTGACGATTTTTCGAGGTCCAAGATTTTTAAAATCGAATAAAAAATGTTTAAAGGCCTATCTCAAAATTTTGCCTGGACAATCCCTTCTAAATGATCCTTAGAACATATCCTGAAAGTTTGAGGGTGATTGCTCAAAAAATGTAGGAGAAGATAGATTTTTAGACTCGATTTTCAGGGCACGCGATCAAAAATCGCTCGCGCAATACAATTACACGCAAGCGCTGACCTTTTACCGGCGATAATTTCGGCTAGGAACAATATTTTTCTATCGGATTAAAAGCATCTGATAGATATCACTCCCCTCTATCAGAAACAACTAAAAAGTCGATTTTGAGAAAATTTCCATGAAGACCCCCCCCTGCCCCCTTAAAGTTATCTTTGAAACTAGTGCACTGGGGCGTGATTTACAGAATTTATTGTTACCTGGCCTTGTTGGCTTCCATGACATGTCATGATAATTATATGATCCATTGTTTTACCAATAAAATATGTTGATAATATTATCGTTTGTGGTGTTAAGGTGGCGGGATGCCCCGCTGCGACCACTCAGATACTACCCCGCATAATCGAATCAGACGGAAATTACTGAAGTACGAATAACTGAATAAGTAGGCACATTATCGAATGATAAGAGTTAGTGTTGCCCTGTGAAGGGAAAAATCGTGTTACATTCGGCATTTGTGTCCCTTGCATGCAGTTTCTCGGCCGTGCTTTCAGGGTAAAAATAGCAAATCAAAGATATTCTTTAGTTGGTTCAGTGAAATAACTCGAAATAGATACTTACTTCAACAACTAAAAATACTCTACCACAGGTCTGGGACGAGAGTTGGAGTCTGAAACACGTATTTGTTGGGCACTGTGCCAAGGTGACCCAGCTCCTCTACTACGTACCCGACAACTGTATCATATCAGCCAGTGTAGATAAGACCATCAGGTTATGGAGCTTGGTCTTCCTCGACCTAATGCAGTGTATCCAGACCTGGTCCATGACACTGGGGTTGGGGATACTGCCTGATAACAGTACACTTTACTCATTCGGGGATAAGGGAGTTGAGGTTTGGGAGATAACCACTCTTCACAAGAAACTGGGGAGCACAAGGTGAGATTTTGAATTTTGAATCCTCGTTCTCATTTCATAATTTCAAGTTAAGACATGAAAAATCTGATTTTGCGCAAAACACCTATTTACGTTCTACCGACGTACAAATTTCTTTCCAGTATCTCGAACCACTGTGTGATTTAAAAACCTCTCTTCACAGTTCAGAAATAAAGACCATGGGCTGCACAACAAGTCCCCGAGTCCCAACCCGTCTGATAGTGACACTAGAGGACAAGTCTCTGGCAGTCCTCTCTCCTGTGACTGGAGAAGTGTTGGAACTGTGTTACCTCCCCACCACCCCTCCTCCTCCCTCTTCTCCTTCTCTGGAGAGCAACCACACATTCCTCACGGAGACCCACCCCCTTACTCGCCCCTCTATGAAGGATGTCGTGTATATTCCCAGTGAGGGGTTCATTTACTGTCTCGACCATAGTGGTGATATCTACGTTTTTGTTACTTCAGGTATGTGACCTTAAGTAAGTTTATATAGTAAGTTCTAGTTAGTTATGTGACACTTGCTATAGAAGTTTCTTCACGTGAGAAATAATTTCGGGTGAAGATCTAACAAAAGATGACGTCAGGTAACCCCTGTAAGTTGCTGACTGTTTGGAAGAGTACAGGGTTGGACTGTGTATCGTGCTGTCTCACTAACTACGAGTACCTTGTGGATGGTACACCTTACTCTGAGGCTGACCTGGACAACCTGCAGGTTTATATCACGTGATCACTGTTCTTTACTATCAATATTGCTCCACTTATCATTCTAGTTGATAATATTATTGAAGAATTAAATTAAATTACATCAAGAGTCCAAGACCTTAGACCCGTAAGAACGGTATTAAAAAGAATAAACTTTACTGAAAGTACTAAAGAAGATCCTGTTAACAGGTAGGAATGAGAGAGGATCTGTCAGTGAAGTTCCTGCTAGTCCAGGCTGGAGGCCAGACTAACCAGAACATCCTGATGGCTGGTTGTGAGGACGGCTCGCTGGTTATGTTCAACAGAAGGTACGGTAGGATAGACTTCAGGATCCAGGGTCACGACTCCTCTGTGGCCCACTTAGTCAGTAACACCATGCACAGCAGGGTGGTTAGTGCTGGAAACGATCACGTGATCAGAATCTGGAGAATGTACCCCTTCGCGGAGGAAGCACTCGCACCCATGTTCTCTTATTACACGGTCAGTCAACTTTTGCAGTTCAGTGTTACTTTCTCGGTTCAAATATCGGTTTAAGTGAACACGCAGCTTATCGTCTGTGTTTAAAATTTGAAATACGGAATATTTCGTTTTCATTTCATATCAACATTTCTGTTGAACTACATGTAGTTCAACTATGTATAGTTAATTCCTCATAGATTGGAGCCCCGATCAAACTCACCAGTTAACATTTTATCTACAAATCAGGTCACAACGCCCAAGAATCTCATAACAGGGATAGACAGAGTGTTTTACAGCTACGAGAAACCGGACACGTGTACGTTTATCACAGTGATGCACGATCTAACGGACAAGAAAAACAAATACCCTCATAACCCTGATGATGATCACACAGGGGCCATTACCTGCATCACTGTCAGCGAGAGTCAGAGGATATTCCTGTCTGCTAGTGTGGACAGTACCATTAAGGTTTTTATTACACTATTACAGTTGCAATTTTTCTGGTCCGTATTTAACTGAATTATTTGATAAGACCTGCCTATTTCCTGAAAACCAAAAGAAAACTGTTGAATTCAATATTCTGACGATTTTTCGTTCAAGTTTATGATGATGATTTAATATCATAGATTTGGAATCACAACAATAAGCTGGTACGCACGCTTGTTTTGAACACAATACCCTCTGCAATAACATTTGGCAACCACGAGGGAGATATCCTGTTGAGTATCAAGAGCGAGATACGGGTTGTCAAGTTCAAGACATACCTTCCTGAGGAGTATCTCAAACACATGATCGGTGTTCAGTATCCTATAGAGGTCAGCTGAAAAAGAATTTTAAATAAGAATATCATTAATCATTGCTTGTACAGGGTAAGAATAAAGTAATCCTTGAACACCTCATACAACTGTAAAGAGGGTTTGGGAAAATAAAACGTATTCGAGATATAACCCGTCAAATTGACATGTATTTCCCCTGTTATATTGATATTTCACTGAAAGTTTATTTTATTTCAGGTAAGCGAGAGGCCGGTCCCCAAGAGTCGGGGAGCTAAGGAACAGATGTCAGATCTAGAGTCGACCCTGCCCTCGGGTATTCGACAAAACAGGGACCAAGTTGGATACGTTCCTCTGTCTGAACTGAAATATCGGGCACAGGCTGAGACTATCAAGAAATCTGAGATTGCTAAGCTCATGCAGAGGTCAGTGGTCCGGGAGACAGCCGTCTGTAGTGCTGTAATTTGTTTCTTTTCCCATGAAACATTTCTGGTTAGAGTGTTGTTATTGCTTTATTACGGTAACTGTGAAGTATTGTGGCTGTGTTGGATTATTAAAGGGCTCATTTTAAAACCTAATTATTCCTATCCGTCTGGCTCGTCTCCCTAGCCCTCGTTACCATGGCAACAGCTAATGCTCTGTTATCATCACTAAATCAAACTCATTCGATTTAAATAACGTGGCGTGATCCGAGCCCATTCTTCCGCTGTGAACAAATTAAAACGTGACAAACATCAAACACTAAAATCAAATGAGCATTATATGACCGTCCAAACTCATGATTCCAACTACTTGAGTTCATGAAATATTTCAGGAATTTCGAGCTGGAGCAGCTGTCCCAGGGCAAGTACGATATCAAAAAGTTCATTCGAAAGACAAAGAAGATGAGAGATAACGCATTTGAGGATTATTTTAGACTGGTGTATCCGGCCCGGCACAGTGTGACTATTGATGAGGACGACGACTGTTTTGAGAGAGGAGTGTATGTCGGCCTGAGAAGTAAGTAATTATCTTATTAAGTAATTACTACATTCCTTTAACTGGATATCTTAGAGTATACACCAGGTGGCATGTTTTAGTGCCCTCTTTTTTAAGGTAACATACAAGTGTTAGACATATAGACTGACGTTACATTATTTCTAAACTATCTTACTGGATGGCTTTTAAGGGGGCAGGGGGGGTCTTTATGAAATTTCTCTCGAAATTGATTTTATAGTTGTTTCTAATAGAGGGGAGTGATATCTATCTGCTACTTTTAGTCTTTTAGTCAAAGGTCAGCGCTCATGTGTAATTGTATTGCGCGAGCGATTTTCAATCGCGCGCCCTGAAAATCGAGTCTAAAAATCTATCTTCTCCTACATTTTTTGAGCAATCACCTTGAAACTTTCAGGATATGTTCTAAGGACCATTTAGAAACTTTTGCTCGTTTTAGAATTTTGAGATAGGCCTTTAACAAATTTTTATTCGATTTTGAAAATCTTGGACCTCTTTTTTTGACGATTTTTCCAGGTCCAAGATTTTCAAAATGGAATTAAAATTTTTTAAAGGCCTATATCGCAATTCTAAAACGAGAAAAAGTTTCTAAATGGTCCTTAGAACATATCCTGAAAGTTTCAAGGTAATTGCTCAAAAAATGTAGGAGGAGATAGATTTTTAGACTCGATTTTCAGGGCTCACGATTGAAAATCGCTCGCGCAATACAATTACACATGAGCACTGACCTTTGACCGGCAATAATTTCGGCTAGGAACAATATTTTTCCATGGGACCAAAAGTAGCAGATAGATATCACGCCCCTCTATTAGAAACAACTATAAAATCAATTTCGAGAGAAATTTCATAAAGACCCCCCCCCCCCCCCCCTGCCCCCTTAAGTAAACAGCTTAATGTTGATGCACTATAAATTGTGCTGACATCAGAAAAACATTACTTGGCTGTTATCAATGGTTTGAGAACTTGCAATATAGTTAAATAATTTGTTGAATTCACAAATCATGTACAGTTTTGTATAATAAACGACTTGGTTAAGTTAAAAACGAGCCGAGGACATTATTTTAAAAAATCTATCATATTATTTTCAATTTACCAGCATATTATTTACATAATATCACAAACCGCCACTACGAACGCACCGCACGTAACAACACAAATTTTAACATTCACAACCATAAAGTTACAATGACGTATTAATGCAACTCTTGAAGTAACAGATCGTGCAGATGTAGGACGAAGAGACTCTCTGGTCCCCACTCCCATCCCCTTCCAGATGCTCGACAGGAAGGTTCTAGAAAAGGACCTGCCCTCTGCTCCTGATGGTTATAAACCCAACTCTTGTGTTAGGAGGGCTTACAGATCTCCCACACCCCCACCTGTTAGTTTACATTATCTTATATAGTGTAACACTATCATATAATGTTATTATCTTTCATTTTGCTAATAAAAATTGCGTTTTTTTCACGTTCGTCTCGGAAATTAAACAGAGTTTCCGAATTTCATTATTTTCTTTTTTACAGTCCGTTTTAGCTGCCTACCCTTTCGAACGCCCCTCGCCCAACCATCTAATTGAATCTTTCACATTAATTTTCCAACGCTGACTGGATTATACGATTAATCTCCATTCAATGAAGATTCGATTAATCACTATCGCAAAAGACAAAAATACTCAACATGGTTATTGAAAAGGCCCACTCTGGCAGGTTGCTGTTGATAATGATCAACTCCTGAATGGGATCAGGTCCAGTAGATCGGAACCAGGTCCCAAATCTAATGACCGATCATTAAGTAGGACCCTGTTGCCAAGAAATAATCTTGAAATATAGGAACCTGTGTGTGTGGGAGTACCTGAAATCACGCACTGTTGCAGATACAATTTTAACCAGAAAATACCCTTAAATAATTTAGAACTAGCTAATATGAGGTTCTTCAGAAGTCGAAGAAGGATAAGAAGAAGGAGTGGAAGCTGAAGAAGTTGACAGCAGCACAAATGGCAGAGCTTGCTGCTCATCTTGGTAACGATGAGGTAGGGAAGTCACGTGTACTGCACGTGTTCGTGTAGTTAATTCCTTATTTATAGATTTTCGTTAGGTTTACCTCTGTCACCCATGTTCAGTTTCATTAAGCTTCAACAAAGCCATCAGTCTCATCACCTCGAGTTATCACCCCACAAAGAGGAGATCTCATTCCTCCAGCACAGTAGAGAGTTCGAGTTCAGAGGGACAAAACAATTCATTGCTTTTAGTTTCTCATTTTTCTACTTTCTTCACTCAATCCATTACTCTCAATACATCATTCATGATTTCAATCCTCACGGTTCATTCCATACTCACAATATTCACAGTTGTTCAAGAAGGAATCGATAGAGATTGATTATGAATTACTAAAACAGCTAGAAGAGGAAGAAGCTGCAGACCAGAAAAGGGTGTGGTTTTTAACATTCATTTGCAAATCATTCTCAATTCACATCATATTACGGATATGTCATCAAACCCCACTGAAAATTGATTGAAACTACAAAAGCATAGGAAAGGTTGCATGATGATGTGCAACTCTATTTAATGCTTCCCTTTGTCCATATTCAGTCGTCAAATAAAAGTAGCTAACCCCAATACCCCGTCAGCTGTTAGAAGGACGAGACTGGGCGACAGAGACTGAAAGTTCCTCAACTTTATCCTCTCCTGACATAATTGAGCAGGAGGATGAATCTTCTGCAGTAAGCTTTAGATCACACATTCACCTTTATTCTAATAGTAGTCTATATTCAGTTTATTTTTCAAACTAAAATCCCAAAAGAATCGACAACAGTTATCATGTTATCCACCGTTTATTCGCAAGTTCTCTATTAAACTTGTTTCTCTTTCAGTTCTCCATGACTGACGAGTCCCCCACGCCGCCACCGCCGCCACCACGCCAGCAAAGCAAGGTCCATTCCTCTCGCAGTAAACGCAGTGCCAAGAAAACACTCGTTATGCAGGTAGCAGCAGAAAGTGTATTTTCTTCATAATCATTAAACTTTTCAAATAATCCCTCTCCTTCAAAATTGTTTTGGTCGCCAATTCATCAAAAGATGTTCGATGTAATTCCTCATTTTACTGGACGGCGCCGGCCCCTCATTCCGTCATTTCTTCGATGTTTTTGAACATTTAAATTGTTAAAAGTTACTAACCATTGTACTCCTCAGGAGGATGACGACGATGAGGACGACAGCTTTGAACCGTCAGACTACATGTCCAAGCTGCAGGACATCATGGCTCACGTCAAACCTGCAACTCCCTCCCCGGGTCCAACACCAGGTGCTAAACTTTTGTCAATGATATTGTTATTTTTCTTATCAAATTTCGGTTTTGTAGTACCTTAATAAACGGTATACTCGATTTTTTATTTGTTTATCAGCAGAATAACTGGATGTTTTCTTCAGAGCCTGTCAGCACCCCTGGCTCAGAGCGACCTCCCTCCAGAAAGCAGGTACAGGGTCCTACAAAACCTGTCAAGAAATTCGTCTCTAGGCCTGCCCCGTGAGTTCACAACTTTATTTCGTCTTATCTAAACTTTCGGGTTATGGTTATCATTCAATCATCACAATTGAGATTACCTTTTTGTCACATTAATCATTCAACGCACAATGTTCATATTTCAACACTAGAAGTAAAGTACGGAAAAAGAGTCGAATGAAGGAAGATTTACTATCTGTCAGAAGAATGACAATACCAAAGATTACACCAAAGCCACATGCCACTGAAGAGTAAATCACACTTCTCAATTATTCTCACAACTTTGATCGCTCATTCAACTTAATCACTCATAAGTCACAACATAAGTTAGATATCACTCGTACACGTGATATTGATATTATAAAGGTGTTATATCCAACAAGACATAAGTGACTAACATTGTAACTGTAGTGTTATCAGGAAGAAGGCAGACACCCCACCCCCACCTCCCCCGGACCCTCTGCCCGAGTACATTGTCTTGTTCCAGGACGAACCTTGGTTCAGGTCCTACCTTCCTGATCCTAACCCTAGGGTAAGTCAGTTTCTTGGTCTCTAAGTTGTTTCATTTTGTTTCTTCAGAAACGGCGCTCGTGGTCTCGTCTCTCAAATTTACTTTGAAGCTTTGAAATTCTAACTTTCAGACGTTCCCGAAAGCTAGTCTCACCCAGTTCCTGCAAATGATATTGGAGGCTATACCAAAGGCAGCGTTCCACGTGAAAGCTGAAATCTGTCAGGTAATATTGTGTCACGAGCACATCAAATTATTATTAAGCAATCAAACTTTAGGCTTGAGGAATAAGACTCACGTGAACTAATATAATATCGTGCTTGATTTCCCTACGCCAGTCCCACGGCACATTATAAGTTTTCATGACTAATATTCGAATTATATGAGACCACAAACGTCGGCTGGCCAACTAGCGTAGGCGCTTGCCTTGATAATCCAACCGCGGTCTCGAGTAAAATAGTTGGATATGTGCGGCGCGGCGATAATTTTGTATTAAAAACGGTAGTTCTAGCATTGAGAAAGCGCGATTATTTTTTAGTTGCTATAGAAACAACGTGACAGGAAGCTGCATTTTAAGGAATTTCTTGGTTCAAATTGGGTGTTAAGTTTCTCGACATTCGTCAATCAAATTCTGTGCTGCAATTATTGCACTTTACTCATTGTTCATCTTCAGAACAGGTTACTTTGCTGTATGTCATTGTGGTGATTGTCAAGTACCTTAAAATTATCTGTTACGAATATTCAATTTCAGGCAATCGGTTTAATTCACACCACGTACGGAATACCAATCCCGACAGATGTTAAAATAGCAATCCTAAACGCTTTGAATGGTTATCCACTGCCTAGAGTCGCCCTTCCCGATGAAAAACAATACATACTCGAGGCCTTGAAACTAATCCAAAAGCTGAACGTAATGGACGAATCAGTGCTAGCGGAACTGCTAGCGCAGTTCATTGACGGAGACGATACTGTGAGGGAACTTGTCATGGCTCTTCTAAAAGCTCGCGGATTGATGAATCAAAACACCGACCTCGAGACAGAACTAGACTCCTGGGAAACATGGAAGCTCGAAGGTGATCCTCGCCGTAAAGCAAAACTTATTGAAATGGCAGAGGAGTGGTGTAAGGAATGGAAACAGAGATACAACGAATTCATGGCCAACGTTGGAAACGAAGCTAAGAAATCGGGCAAAACTGTATCTGAGATAATGAGCATGTTAAGTTCCCCAGGGACAAGTCCAATAGTTTCTATCGTTAATTTCTTCGTATACAAATGCAGAGAAAAGGAGGAGTTGTTGACAAAATCTGGTGGTGAGCCAAAGAAGACAACAGAGGGAGTGAGAAACGCTGTTATCAGCATGCCCGCCATAAAGAAGAGTAATCTGATGAGATTGGGAGAAAGCCACAGAAGCAAGTGTTATCCTGAACGTGAATCCACATTGAGTAAGTTTTAAATTGACTTTTTTTGGACAATTTTTGAAAATCTTCAAAAACTAGTTTGCAGAAAGTATATTATTATCTTCCAGATATTCTAACCAAATTGCTCAAATTACCGTTATACGATCGTTTTTCAGGTCGGTTTCTGCCACAACTTGACCCCAGGACGCAATCCAGGATCAATATCCTCCTTCATGGTTTCACAACATATGTTAATCTGGCTCTAAAACCGATTAATGTCAATCCCTTTGCCAAACCAGACAATAAGACAACTCTAAAAGAGAAAACAAGGCCCAAGTCATTGAATTTGTTATCACCGTTTAAGTATTTCGTCCCAGAATTGGCGACACTGTCCATTACAGATAATTAGAAATTTACAGAAGACGTTTTATATAGATTTGTAGGTACAATTTTAAGTTTTTGAACATAATTTAATTCAATGTAAATACCAAGGCAAGTGTTAAACTGTATAGTGTGATATTATTCTGTGTACAGCTCTTTTTGTTAACTTTTAACTTATGGAACAGAAAAACTCTTTTAATTGTGTCTGGAATTAATTTTTTTAAATAAATAATACTTGTAAATCAAATATAGATAGCAATAAACGTTAAAAACAAATTTAACTGGAAATACCCATTCCCAAGCCTGACAAGGAAAACACAACCCAAGTCCACAAACCTACCCCGATCACACGACACTCTCACGTGACTGTTTCCTGATGGCTTTGCATCACATCGTGAAGTTTATTTTTCATCGCACTCACAAGTTGAAGCGGGAAATTGTCCGAATTTTCAAGAACACATTTTCCACAAAATCGTTTGGTGTAAAATACGCTGCAGTCGAAGCAAGCTATGGTACTGCACATGTCACAGAATCCAGCCACCCCGACTACTCTAGGCTCGGGGCTGTACGGGTCCCTTAGTAAGTAGGTGTCGTCATAGTAGATAATTCCAGAGCAATAGGGGGCTTTCTTACCTGAGGAGTTATGCACGTTTAGGGGAGGTAAACTCACAAGATTTCTCTGCTTATTTCAAACTCATAACTTTAAAAAATCCTATCTTGAATTTTCGATATTATCAAAAAAACTGTGATCTCCTTGATATATAACATGATATTAAAAAACATCTTCCAATACGATTAATGTTAAAGTTAATCACTAACCGTAAAAGTCGTAGGGAAGATTCATCTGACAGAGTTGACATGAAACCACATCTCGTTTTACTTCTTGTCCTCCTTCATTCATAACTAATAAGTTTGTTGGATCAATGTATTTCTTCCATGACACAAGTTTCGTCAGTTTGACAACAATGTGACTGTCACAAACAAGTAGCCGACTTCGGACAATGGTGAAATTGGTCGAAGTTGGCTAATACTGTTGGTGACTGTAACATACAGAATTTCTCTTAGGGGTCGTTCACATATTACGTAATCAGCCTAGGGGGTTTCCAAATGATTACGCTACTGTAATTTGGACACAATAGCTATGTGTAAAACTGATTACGGAGGGGGAGGGGGCAAAAATTGTTCAAAAAGTGATTATGTAATTTTGTGAACGATCCCTTTAAATATGGTCGTTTGGTGTTGGGAATTAAACTGGCTGGCCATCTTTACGTGCCCATCTTGAAACTAAACAACTTGAACAAATTCTATTGGGGGTCGTTCACATATTACGTAATTATTTTTGGGAACATTTCCCAAATCATTCGGAACCCCCCCCCCCCCCCCCTCAGCTGATTACGTAATAATATGTGAACGACCCCTTGTGATATGATATTGACATTTGACGTTTATCCCCATATTCCATACACATGGTTCTAACGGGTGATATCTAACTAAGGGAGGAGCTGTGTTAGGCATTAGCCTACACCCCTGGTGGGGATTCTTTGTTAACGTCCTCTTGCTGGACTTAACACTAACACCACCAACAATGACATGACTTAGCTGAAGTTAACCACAATGTATTACATGCCAGTGAATTGAAACTTAATCGCTGCGCGCGTCTTTATTGCGCAGTGCACACTACAAAAAACCTCACGGCGTCTGAATTGAATTTATTGAGAAGACCGTTTCGGTGTTTCGCCTGAAGATTCCCACTACATAACTACGTGCCTTGGCCACTTTTCGGCCTTCTATAATTGAAATATCAATATATTATATGCATTATTTTAACTTCATTAAGAGCAGTTTCATTGTAATTTCATCGAATAAAACGCTCTATGTAGATATCTATAGAATTTTAAGGTATTGAATCGTACCTCTGACATCTAAAATTAAATGATTTAATCAGTGCCTAAAATAAATGCAATTATCTTTACTGTGCTTCATATAAATTTCTTAAATTTACATTCTCAAAATTCCTTACATTTTAAAAGATTACAGTCCAAAATCAAAATAGAGTTAACAGGAACTTCTTACAGTAAGAGGGTCTACTTGCTCGATAACTAACAGGGCCTTTCGGGCCACTTAAACATCAAATAGCCCGTGAGAAGTCAGTAGTCCACGACATCGTCGTATGAGGGCGGTGGGGGTAAGTTACTGCTGTGCGGAGAGACATCTGGTGGACCTGGAGTTAGGAGAGGAATGCTTTACTTTTTAGGAAGTCAATATAATACATTAACAATATTACACACAGACTAATGTATGACACACCGGTGCAGTGTACTCAATATTAACTTTTAATTGTTACATCAACCTGGATTATTGATATAATAGCTAAGCGTAGCTTACGGAGCTGAGAGGGTCTATAATGGCCTGAACCATTCGATCACATATTACGTAATATGTGATCGTTCACATATTACGTAATATGTGAACGATCACAAACGAAAAACGGGTTAAACTGATATCTAGCTTCTAATATTAATTTGAATAGCTTATTGTAATTTTAACTTATAAGATTTAATTATGTACCTGTAATTATAGAAACTGGAGATGAGAAGTTTAGTTGGTAGTCGCCAGCAGCATGACGCACATTATTATAACTAGGAGGAGCTAAACTTGACGGGTAGCTCACTTCTTGAGGATTGCTAGTTCCTGAGGTGGCGTAAGGAGGTGCTGAGGGCAAGCCGACAGATGTGAGTGAGGCTGAGCGACGAGGTATAGTTCTGCTCGGTGAAACTGATCTTCTTCTAATTCTTGACATATCCTCCAGATCAACCTCATTCCTTACTCTGACCCCAAAATCTGGGGTCCCTGGTATAGAACTGCGGTTTTCACTGGAATTTCTCCCAAAGCATCGGCAGTTTGGTTTGTGGCATCGGCAACTGAGATATGGCTGATGTTAACGAATGATGTTAGGAACAAACCAAATATTATGACAAAGATAAGCAGTAAGTTCATTCAAAAATGCCATCAACAAAACTAAATCTATTTTTTGTATTGAAATATCTGATAAATTGTTACTCACCATCCAAAAACGTCGATAATTGCCGCGAACATTGCAGCAATTAAAACGAATGGTAGGCCTATGACTTCAACGAAGCAGCTCCTGAACATTTTATTCTGTTATTACTTCAAAAAATCAAACGAAAATACTTTTACAGTAAATTTTTATTGAATCGCTTGTTCCCAAAACCTCAAACACAAACTTATCTAGGCTGTTGCAACGTATCTACAACCAAACTTATCTAGTTAGCTCTGAATACCTATGCTCACTGGACCCAAAAATTACTGAAATAACCAATCCAAGGAGAATGCAACCAGCCGGAATACTCAGACTCATGTACACTTTCTCCATCGAGTACTGAAAAACAAAAACTATTATAAAATAAAAATAGGTTTCGTTTGTGCCTGATTTCCAGAAAGCTCTTAGTAATGAGAAATGTAGATATAAGCTTAACATGTTTTCTCTGTAATCTAGTAAGGCAGAGATAGGAATCCAGATGTAACACGCCAATACTGGACCAGCAATTACATTAAATACTGTGACTAACTTCGTGATCAACATAGATAGCACCGTCATATCCCCAACAGCTAAAAGTAGGTGTGTTCTTGTAGGTTACTTCAGTTAAATTGAATCCTTGAAGAAACGGGTATCTCACATCATAGTTCACCTGCAGAATAGAACAGCGGTCAACTTTTCCATTTTGATTCTATACATTTCTATTTTAAAATTTATGAAGAATAATGGGTGACAGCAATATATCTTTTCGATGAGTCACTGCGCTCAAAATAATAAGTATCTTCGCCTTCCTAGAGCTATAATTACCAATTACATTATGTTAATCTAGTACTAACCGACGAATATAACACAAGTGATTAAATACCCAAAGTATACATAGAGAAAATACAATGTACAATATGCATCATACCAGTGGGACAATGCTCTTTAAAAAGTAACTGTAAACGTTATTAGCGTTTTCCTCAAAATCACTACTACACGATGGAATGTACAGGCACTCTTTGTCGAGAGCCCTGTGGTTGTCATGGATTGTACCGGTAAAGTCTGACAAGTTCTCCAAAATCAAACTTTTATTGTGCTGAAACTCTGCCTGAAATGTAGAGTTTTAGTAAAACGCCAGAAATCGACTTACGTGTTATAATCGTGTTAACAATAATATGATATTCTGTAGTGTGTCATGAGAACAGCGGTAAAATGTGCATTGTAGTGAAATAAGTATAAAGAGTGCTAAAGAATCAAACACTTACTGTAACTGTTACACACGGAAACTCTTCGTTGCAGTTTTTCCCACAACTACAAGTCGGCAGATCGTCCCAGAATGGACGTTGAGATGATGATAGGATCCTACATGTCCCCTGCTCAAACTTAACACCTGCGCTAAAGCTTATATTTTGACCTCTACATGATTCTGACACGGAATTTCTGATCGGTTCAAGTTTTTCGTACTCGAGAAAAACATTTCAGTTGATTTTACAGAGACAGTGCATTAACAAAGAGTGTCTCATCAATACAGTTATTACCAAATCATCCAGTACATTGAAGTTATAGTTAATTACAATGAGACGATTATAATATCAAGACTAACCGTGAAGATTAGGTTTAGCGATAGTTACTCCGCACGAAATTAATGCGATGGCGCCCCCGATCACGAGAAAAGTAGCGAAATTATCGATAGTTTCTCCCATGCTTTCTCTGGAAAAATATTGTGTAGTTAGCTCGTTTGCTCTATCGATGGAAGCGGGGCTTTGTATAGTATGATTTAACCATAATTGAAGCAATCGAAATTGGTGGCCAATTTCTTTCATGATAATTATAAAGTATTGTCAATACAATAGATGTGGATTCTGGTGGAGAGGTTAGGCACCAATTCCGATTGTTTCATTAATTCCGATTGCAGATACATTTTTATTAAAATGTGTCTGCTTGTCAGTTGAGAATATCTGGGAAAGCAAAACAGCATATCAGTACTGTACATACTATGTATGATATAAATTTGCGGTGTTGAGAACAACAATTGAGAAATACGAAAGTCTTGTATAGTTTTACGCCTACTAGATCAGCTTAAACTGAAATCTTACAAAGCACACTGACTAAACCATCAACATGATCTATAAAAAGTACTAAAATAAACTTTACGTTAAACTAATGCTAATTGTTTGTGTAAAAACAATAACAAAGTTGCTGGCAATAATTTATCACGTCATGATTCAAATTGCATGTACTCACTATTATTTCTTTGATTATCGCCTAGTTAACCACGTATCACGTTGGTGCGAGGATTTCTTGAACCAGTAGTGAACTAAGAGAGTCCAACCATCAGCTGATGGGCAGGTTCATCCTCAGTTCACTTTCACCGTGCTCCTGTTCCTGTGTGTTAAACTTATTGTATTACGGGACATTCACAAGAAAGCGTTTTTAATTATACAGGGTGTTTTATCCATTTGTCTAAACTTGATTCTGTAAAAAGTTACTGATAGTTATAAGGTTAATAATGGCGACTTCTGAGTTTTGTGCGTTGCCATGGCCACCATAGTAAAGTTAAGATGAACGAGGTCTCTCATAATAACAGGATATGATCAGGATCTCCTTTATCCCAAGAGTTGAGCGGGCAGAGTTACAAAACGTCATTAGCTGTTTCCAGGTATCAAAGCCTAAATTATATTACATTGTGAAAACAGTTAACAGCACTATTGTCAGTGTGTAACACGATGCTGCTACGTGTTGTACCGTAACAGTGTACCACAAATAGCTCCTATACACTGATACATCATGTAACAGTGCCTATTTCCTGTGAAGCAGACAGTTCACACGTCTTTACACTTTACAGTATACACGACTAATTGTGTTATATACCACAGCTCAAATTGTTTGCAGCCTATTATGTAGGGAATTATTATAACTATGTGTGGTTAGAATTCAAAATGAAAATGTTAACTGTAACGTTTTTTCACAAAGCTTCAGATTCCTGTCCTGTTTTTGCTAGAGACCTCTCGTCAGCTCCAAGTTTTAATTCGTACTATTTCTTTGGCGAAATACCAGGGTCTTTTCTTTAAAGAAGAACAGGATTGGCACGGTTACTGTGTGATTGCACTGTAACTTTAACATAGTTGAAATAGCGGACGAGTTCTAAGTTTAAGAGAGTTGAGGGTCTCATTTGTCTTGTTTTCTTGTAAAGAAAAGTAGCGAGTAGGATTCCATGGAGAGTATTTGTAATTTAGGGCTAATTTGAGCGACATGATTTGCTTACACCAACCATTAAACCATTATATTTTATTATAAATCATTATGAAATATTGCAGATAAATTAAGGATATCCCAACTTCACATAATGCATCATCACGTGTTACTGAGTGTTTTCTCCCACTTCAGATATATATTTGAGAGTGAGAATAACACTATCCTCATTGACCGCTTTGAGCACACTACACACGCACACTGTGTATTATATCCACAAGCGTGCGCTTTTTCGCATAGCGGGCTCTCACCAGCCCGCTGTCAAAGGGCCCGATATCTCTACAGCCCGCTCATGATATAGCCCGCTAACAAGTGACATTTAATTTGTCCAGTAGCAATATAGCCCGGAGTTCTCTAAAATATTTTCAGTTTCTGTATCGTCTCCATGTGAAATTCCATAAGACAACAACTTACAAGTTACTTAGAACTATAGTTGAAACCGGTTTAATTCATTTATAACGATGAATTCAATTGCAATAATCGTATAGTGAGCTAATTAGTGTAGTTTCTGTTTCTAAATTACTGTGCAGTGTCTGGGGAGGAAGGCCCAGGAATGCAGTGCCAGTATGTATCTCTTATCTAGCCAGCCCCTATATACGACACAGCCCTTTATGATTGGCTTACATTGAACACGTGACGTGTTACCATGGTTACAACAATTAGTGGCGACCTTTTCTAGAGTTGACTTTTATACAAGCTGATCCATTGTTTATTTATAAAATTATATATTAACTGTAAAGCTCACGCTGGTGGATATAATCCACATCACCTCGACCCGCGGGCGGAAAAATCGTATAGCACTCGGGCCCGATGGGCCCTCCGTGCTATACGAAAATATGTCCTCCTCGGGCTAGCGCCCTCGGGGACATATGAAATATTGCACGCGCGTGCGCGTGCAATATTTTGTTCCGCCCGCGAGTCTCCGGTGATATGTATATGTATACTTTTATACTTGTATGGTCAGTGTTTAGTACAGTCAAATAATTTGCAGCAAAGCGATTTTAACGGGAAATGGTCGGGACAGGTCCCTGAAATTATCCTAGAGAGTTCCCAAAATTTCTGACGACAGCAAAATCCACAATCAAGTAATGAAATGAAATAATTATTATTGATGAAAAGTACAACATAGTCATAAGCAATTTAACAATTCAGTCCAACCAGAGTATTCATTAGTTCATTAATTAATTTTATATCTCATCACAGGAGGCAAACAAGACAAGTTTGACATGCTTCAAGGACCTACCCTTTGCGGTTCAGTGTGAGATTTTAAAATTAATTTATGAATAATGTAAGCAAAATAATATGATCTGTCAGCTTCTATACAATTAGCATTTTCTGGAATTTTTACTTCAATTACATCAAAACTATTAACTTCGATAAATTTTAATTTGAACTTTGTTTTAGTATAAATTTGTAAATAAATGGTCATTGAACTGCTTGTGTAATGTGTATTATATTAGGATTCCTTATTCTGTAAGCCAAGACAGACAGCCTCAAGTTTGATGAAAATAAACATCACCATCTTGTTTTCCGTCCTTTAATTAGTGAGTATAGCCATATTTCAGCTCAATAGAGAATTATATCAGAAGTATTTATTTTTTCGATTTTTCGATTTTGACCGGAAAATGATGCCCATATAATAATGTATACTGTACATCACGACAAAAGCACAATGGTTTAGCTAGCGGTATGTTTAACAGTACCTATGGCATGACTCAAAGCATGCGATCACAGTTTTAAAAGGTTAGTTTAAAATGTTGCAAAAGTTTTTCTAAATTTCTTATATTGAAGAAAACTTCAGAACAGCAAGCAACCGACAGGATCTATTGGAGTGGTCTCATACGGAACAATAAGGAGTTACTACTACTAGGAGGAGACCCCTTCAGTCCTTCACGTACAAGTAAGTATGAGAGAAATTATAGACTCTAATTAGTGTAATTACATTCATTATACAAGCTGCAGTAATCCCCCTTTGGGAAGACATTTTTATAAACATGCATCATTTAATGCTTTTCACTACACTAACCGTCACAGAAAGAAAAGAGTGTTGTCTACAGTTTCTGTCAGAACAGCTTCTTGGTAGATTTTCATCCTCAGCGAAATCTTTCAGAAGCAGATATTATCGTACAGTTACCCTTAGTGAAAGCAACTGCTCTATTAACTGAACTGGATACAGAAAATCAGTAAATAATCCAGGAAGAATATTTTTTATAATACCAATATTCATAATCTTGCAAAGAAAACAGCGTTTAATTGAATTCTAGCCGATATTTCTAGAAATAGCATACATGTTTAAATTGTAACACAAATAATTTCAGGCGTAAACTGCAAACCTTTGTACAAAACGAGCCATGGATGTTTGGTTTTGTAGCAGTAATTCCAGAAGCGATGAGATCAAAAGTAGAGCTTCCAAATATAGGAACAACTTTCATAAAATCAGCCATATAGGTCATCTCTCAAATATCAATCTGTAAAATCAAAGCCTTCATTGATCATGATAGCAGTATACAACTCTGAGATATAATACAAATCAAATAAGGTAACCGGAGAAATTGATACAGTAAAAAGTCAGCTTAGAAATTATCAAATCATATCTAAGATCAACTTACAAAACACAAAGTTGAGCACGCTAAGTACGCTACTACGCTAGATTACGATAAACACTTTGCAATTCTAATAAAACAGTTTAAAATTAAGTTTTTATCGAATGTTGGAGTTTTTATAATATAATATAATATATAATACAACTTGGTATTGTTAATAATCGAAATCAGATTTTAAAGTGCTAAAAATATATAAGATCATAAACAGTAAAATCTTCGTTTAAATTATGTATTAACAGTGTATTTTACATGCACTTTTTCAGTTAAAAATCATAAAATATTTCTAAATACAATTTATTTCTGAATAAAATTTATTTAAAAAATTTAAAAATAAACACCATAATATGAAGCATAAAATCTATAAAAACTGTTATAATAATAAAACTGAGCTGTTAAATTCTTATATATAGTAATTTCTAAAAGACACAAATTTTAAAGCGAGTAACTGAGAATTCGTAGGGAGAGAGTGGAAGAGGTTGAGATTCTCATTTCGAATTGTTACATTATTTTATACATTCATCCCGGTGAGATAAATTCTCATTATAGTCTTTTCCCATTAAATCGTCAAAACTTCAGTTCATATATAAATCCATGATTTAACGAATGATATTCCGCCTGTGCTGGTGCAGAGGCCCATGATTTCTGTGCAATTTCCCAAACATTAGCTCAGCACAGTCTGCAGTTACATGTCATGTTTTGGAAGTACCTTTATATCTAGGTAACCTCCCGTATCTAATTCCTCCCATAAGAAGAATGCAGTGAATCCAGCATTTTGATAACTCTGCCTGACCAGCGGTACTAAGATACAGACCGTCAGCAGACAAATCCGTTCGTCTAAACCTGACGTTGTCAAAGAGTTTGATATTGACATGATCGAATGAACATTGCAACATAAGTTCATTGAATCTATAGATCGTCTTGTTAATTTCAGAGTTTTTTCTGCTTCCATCCTTCTCTAAGCTAGTCACGGATTCAAAAATAAATTGAGTTGTTGGAAACTGCGCCGTAAAGTCTATTACAAGATCATGTAACATACTAGCAGAGACTGCGTTTGTTTTAATGTCATGTATTCCAGCGGAAATGAGAACTATATCCGCCTTGTTGACGTCCTCAGTATGTCCGTTGAGGTCATTCAGATAAAAGACAGTATGCTTGTAAGCAATGATAGGCTTACGAAGTTGTGAGCAGTCGAAGCTATCATTTTTGCTGTCACATAGAATTAGAACTGTCTTACTCTTAGAAGGAGGTAAGTCAGTCTGGCGACGTCTATTGAGTGACGAAGAATGGACACGCGATGATGATATAATATCTTTTTGCCGAACTTGAATAGTCTTAACATGTGGTTCCAGGATATTCAGTACCCCTTTGTACAGCTCATTAGGTTCATCATCAGAACATATCAATAAGATAGAACAATAAACCCTAGCTCTCGACACTCCAACATAAATATGAGCAAGTATGTTCATCAGGGATTGCTCAAAACTGTTAGATGAATGGGCTGTGTCTTTAGATTCTGGAGAAGACAAATCGATGATGAGAACGGCACATGGGAACTCTATCGAAACAGCATACTTAACATAATCAGTAAAATTTTCTGTTATGTCAAAGTCTTTCAGCCCTTCTGATTCAGATGCCAATTTCACTGTACTCCTGATATTTCCAAACCATTTTTTTCTTGCAGCTGGCGTTACGTCATCAGAAATATGGAGATATACTGTAATAACAGCAAGTTTGTAGTTATGAAGAGGAACAGCTTCATACGATCTATGTATTAGTTTCAACTCCTTTCTAATAATCTGAGTCATCCTATATTCCGCCAGATTTGATTCCTTCCCAAGGATACAATACAGTTTTATGGTGAATCCTTGGATATAGTGATTGAAACCTTGGCGTGGTAGAATCTGCTGTAATTTTTCACGATTTTCTCCACTTATTTCGAGGAATTTGTCCATTAAATCTATTAGAAGAAGGGCTATGCCATGGTGATTCCTGAGGTTTCCAGAGAGAGAAACGTCCTTGTGTTTAAAACAAAGGTCAATAACACGATCGAATGTTCCCTTGGCCTTATGCAGTACATCTTTCCCCCAAAATCCATATTGAACTGTTTGCATCAAATCGCAACTGATCCACAGCGATCTAGGCTTCTGTTCGATGTCACTGACGTCATTTAATAAGAGATCAAACAGGAAATCAGTGCTCGAAGAGGGCAGCATCCATCTAGAAGTTTTGGGCTCTAACATTGAGTTTGTAAAAGTGCTATGAAAGTCATCACAGAATATGTGCCATCTTTTATCTTTAAGAATTCTCAGAAAACGTTCCTGCATTAAGACTACAAATTCCTTACTTGAATCAAATTCAAAGTGAAAATTAGGCCGCACGAATATCACTACCTTTACTGTGCATCCATCCATCTTGTCAGAAAGTAGAGTAGTGAGATTAACTTTATGATTATCTTTGACTTCACGAATATCACCTAAAAGATCGATAATCTCCACGGTTACAGAATTATCGAATTTTTTGACAATCTCCATGAAACGTTCGGCAGCATCCTTCCAAGGTAGCAACATAAGGATCTGTTCCTCTTCTCCCATGCACTCCAACAATTTTAGAATCCTAGCATACATCATTAAAGTCTTTCCAGAACCCGCAAATCCATTCACAAAAATATAAGGCTCTTTTTCTGATTCTAAAAGTTTTTTTTGTTCTCGAGTTATATACTTTATGCCATGGAGGTGGTCGGCAAAGATACTTTTATACGTCTTGGGTACGGGCACTATACTTTCAGATCGATTTTGTTCATTGAGGTAAAGTTCTTGGCGTTTCAGTCTCTCATTGATGTCATTTATTGTATTACCTATGAGTCCCTGAGTATTCCTTATGCTATCTTTGAGGCCACTACTGGTCTCTAGCCATAATCCAATGAGTAGAGCTTCCACATCTGATTCTGACTGCATCTCATTAAAATTACCAAAATACCGATTTAAAGTGTGATTCATATTCTGTATGTCTTCCTTCCATAAAATTGGGATGTCGTCTTTTTTTTTCCGAGTGACTTCATTATTTGATAGATCTTTTTCATTTGCGTGTGGAAATGCACAGAACTTTTGATACCGTAAATTTTCCCTATCGCAATGTTTGAGCAGACCACGAAGAAAGTTTCCAAATTTATCGCACTGTTTGTATACATCCGAATATAATGATTGGTAGTTTTTATCAAGTTTTGGTCGTTTGACTTCAATACAAATAACAGCAATATTCGGAATGACGAGCACAAAGTCATGTTCACCATCTTCTGCATTTTCATCTTGCCCGAAAAAATCTATCCATTGCTGACAGGTATACTTAAAATTATGCAAAACAGTTATTCGTTCATCTAGACATTCCAGAGCGCCGTAAACATCACACTCCGCTTCATAGTCAACACGTTTTGAATCATAATCCTTTTTTCTGTTCGTCTGTAAGTCTTTTTCTGAGTAGCAGTCGACTTGTTTCTGCTTTGGTGCAGGAGGAAGCATGATAGGCTGCTTAATTTCCATCAACAAATTAGTTGAGATGTACGACTGTAAGAATTCCTTACCATCAGCTAGAAAAGTCGATAGAGATGAGGCTGACTCACATATCTGATTTTGAGCCATTCTAGGATATTTAAGTTATTGACGATGGAATATGTGTAAGGCAGACCTCACTTTATTATTGTTGAATAATAAATAATTGTTAAATTTATATTGTGGATTTAAAGATAACTATCAGATATCGCTAACATTAATACAAATTTTAATAACCAGAAAACTGTATAGATATCATGTTTTTGCCCTAAGTTTTAATGCCAATACGTAAATTTCGATCCACCGCAAAATATCGAAATCTGACCTGGGTTGCCTTAGAATACTAAAAATGGTTCAGTTTCTCAAAAAATATATTTGATCGAACTTCGTAAATTTGGACTTCCAGGTTCCAAAGTCCAAATGAACCAATTTGGACTTCCCCTAAACAGGGTAGCTTGAGAAAATGATTATAAACCCAATTAGTTTACCTTGTTAACTTTCAAATGACAAATTCACCCAATTATAAAAGGAGTATTGTATTGCAATGTGATAACCTTCTAGCAAGAGCACTATATAACTTGCTGGTCTATGCAATTAATCGTAGTCCTTATCCTACGAATCATGAGGCGTCAAAGACATAAACACTTCACGGATTTAAGAAGATAAAATAAATGAATAAAATACAGCTATGTAACAGGACAGAAATATAACGTCCATTGGAGCATTAACGTTATTAGGCTACAGAAACATTCCAGAGAATAAAGGAGGACAAAGGCAAAAAAACAAAGCTGTGAACGTCGTATGCAGGCTACAAAACAAGTCAAATAAGAGTTACAAAAGGTTTCCCATGAGGCTCAACTGACAATGTGTGAATGTGTACTACTGTTTTGATACTGAGATGAAAGACTATTTCTCAAGATTTAGAGGATGTTCGATACTACTAATACTATTGGGCTTATAAATCATCTCAGCATGCGAGCTTGTTTAACCAATCAAATGCTATGTGATCCGATAGTGTGCAGTGACAATTTTGTGAGTAGCAGTGCATCCCATGGGATCACGAAAGAATACTAAAATCGGTCCTTATTAATAGTAATACCACGTCATGATCTGTTCATGACATGAGCCGTTAGATATACGCAGAAAGTTCGACACGTACCGACGTTCGACAGGCGTGACTTCTGACGAACTTTCGTTGTCGAACAAAAGTACTTCACAAGTTGTGAAGTCACAACTACTTCACACTATTAAAACGCACGCACAGCTGAAAAATGTAATAAATAATCAAACTTCAAAACTAGGGTTAATCGACCGACTCACCATTAAACCTGTATTTTATACGTTTAATAAACAAAATCACCAACAAT